TTCATTTACTAAACAAACTTAATTAAAACCAACGAACATCACTATCTACCGATACTTATAAAAAAGTCTTTATATCATTGGCCAAGCCCTGTGACATTTATAAGCTCACTTTTAGCCTAATCTCACTTGTATGCTTAGCTCACTTTTATCCTTAGATCACTTGTATCCTTAGCTCACTTGTATCCTCACCTCAAGTCTATCCCTTGGTCAATTGAATCCTCAGCTCAATTGCATCCTTATCTCACTTGTATCTTTAGCTCACTTGTATCATCACTTGTATCCTCAGCTAACTTGTATCCTCAGCTCATTTGTATACATCGTTAACTTGTATCCTTCAATCACTTGTATCCTTAGCTCACTTGTATCCTTAGCTCATTTGTATCCTCAGCTTACTTGTATCCTCAGCGCACTTGTATCCTTAGCTCAATTTTATCCTTGCCTCACGTATATCCTAATCTCAGTTGTATCGATAGCTCACTTGTTTTCGAAGCTCACATGTATCTTAAGCTCAATCTTATACTAAGCTCAAGTATATCCTAGGCTCACATGTATCCTCAGCTCAAGTCTATCCCTTGGTCAATTGAATCCTTATCTCACTTTGTTGTATTCCATTCGATGTTAGACCCTTTGGGGCAGCACCAGGCATAAGCTTTTAAGCGTCACCGAATGGATAGTTTAAAACTGTTATACTGGTTAGTAAAAATTCGTGTGCTAAGACAATAAATAACATTCTTTTGAAATACTTAGAAAATTATATAATTATTTACACTCGTTTCATACCAAAAACGTGTACGACAGTTTCCCTTACCCACATCAACCCACACCACATTTCTTCAGCCGATATTTTAAACAATGGAAACAATATTATATGTTATTAATTAAAATGCTTTCAAAAATACAAAATAATCAAATCGTTGTAAGGGCAGAGTTTCTTAAAATTTCAAAGTATTTAGACCTAGCATTTGGTTGCATATTTTGTAATTATTAAAAAACAAACAAATTTCTTCTAATTAGTGATTTAACGTATCTCTGTAGCATCAATGTAGAATTGAACAATAATAGTTATCTAATTTCACTTGGCATATGTTCACAGCATATCACACATATCCCCATTGATTCCGCTCAAAAGCTAAAATCTGTAAATAACACACCATCATTTACTGTCTCAGGTATACAGATTGAATTCTCAAAACAGTGCGAAACCTTGGTGTCTACTTAGACAGAACACTAATTATGGAAAATCACATTAACATGATTTGCATGATTTTTTCTAGAGATGCGCAGAATTAGTCATATCAGACCTTTCTTAACGTTAGATGCATCAAAGGGGCTCTCAGAAACAGCCAGACACTGGAGTCTTTCAAAACTGATTTGAAAACATATCTTTTTCGCAAACAACTTTTGGGGTGAATTTGTCTACCATCTTTTCCAGCTAGCTATTATCTCCTAGATGTAAAGAGGCCTGTGTTGTTTATGGTTGCAAGGGATGAAAGTCTTAGAATGGGTATTCTCGTATGAAGTTTTTGTAATGTTGCTTTTTGTATTTCAATGTGGCAAATATCGATCTTTCATTTCCTTTTTAACATTAATGACTTTGTACCATTTTTCGAGCCATAGAGGATGACGCGTGATTTTAAATAATAAGCTTTATTATTATTATTATTTGTAACGGACTATGTTTCACATGAAAACAGAGAGGTAGCATGAGTGAACAGTGAATGGTGTTGACCATGTTTTGTCCACGGGGACAATGAATTGTATTTTGAGAGGACAATGTGAGCTCCACGTTTTTGGAGAGTAAAATTATGTTTTTGTCAGAGCGGTTGTTTTCCACGCTTTGCGGGTAATAAAGTATGAGCTGAGCTGAGCGCAAGGAGAGTCAGGGTTAGTCGGAGTTGAGTTACAGTAGCGAGAGAGCTGTGTGATTAGACAGTTGAGCTGAGTTGACAGTAGTGTGAGGACGTGTCTTTCTTAATGATGGAATACTATAGATATATATGTGAAATTACATTCATGCAAGGATTATTTATTAATATTATCAATATAAAGTGTGTTCAATAAAGTACTGTAAGTTTAACCAGGATTCAGTATTCTTATTTGCGTGCCCGGATTATAAGTGGAAGAATGAAGAAGCCTTAGTCGGCATCCTGAAATATCAACATAACATAAGTAACCATACTACTGACATAACCTACAGCATAAGAAATAAGATCCCACGCCATGTCAGAGTAGGTGTGTTATTATTAATTAATAGAGGGAAAGTACGTTTCGATACCCTAAAAAAGAGAATACAAATTTTGGACAAGGTATTAAAAAAATAAGCAATGATTTATTGCTAATATAGTTCCTTTTTATTGAGAATAAAATAATCAAAAGAAATATCATAACAGCGTTTTACTATACATATTTAAATTTATAATCGCATATATCAAGTCAATTGATGACAAAATGATATAATAATGAAAATTGAAACACACGTATCATAAATATTCATCCAATTTTCCGTTTTAATTCCAGTACGTTGGGGATGTAGCAAGAAATGTTTCAGTTTGTTAACGATCTTCTCAGCATGTCTTTAAAATATAAATGTATCTATTTTTTTTAAAGGAATGTGGGTGTCTTTAATTATGACACATAATCAATTTTCAAGGAAAGTTTGTATTGTATTAAATTTTAAATGTCTTCGCTTGTCAGCTAATGCAATAATAGTGATGTAGGAAATAATGATGGTGTATGCAATGATTGTGTAAAAATGATGTTAGAGACTGCAAATGATGTCAGTTTATGCATGTCAATATATTTCAATGTTTAATGTGTGTGTAAATGGCGCGTAATTAATTTTGATGACTGCAGTTATTTTTATAATGGCAGTAACGGCAGTCATGGTCTAGAAGCAGCTAGACATGTGAGGAAAAATTGGTCCCATATGGACTTTGATGGTGTAATTATTTCGTAGTTTCAGAAACAGCAATGGCATTAGACATTGAAATGATTTCAGAGATGACAGTGATGATATGAAGATAAATATTAAATATTGTCAGTTATGACCAGGGGTCGGTAGCCTTACGAGCCAGATGTGTCTCTTTTGTTGGCTGCATCTGGCTCGCAGAAAAATGTTCGATATTTTAAAAAAAAATGTTTTTTAGACTCCTCTGATCTACATATTAATTGCATATCAATATTTGATTAGCAACAGCATAGCAATGTATTTAAAAAGAATTCAGAGACATACATATTGCATTTTTAATGTTGAAATTACACAAAATGCACACATTTACTAGAATTTTTAGTTTTAAACATAATGTATGGCTCTCCTAGAATTGTATTTCAAAATATGTGGTGTACATAGCTCTCTCAGACGAAAAGGTTCCCGACCCCTGGTATAGACAAAAATGCTAGTTTTGCAAATGATATGATTTTAAAGATATTACTTTTAACGCGAAAACATAATTTCAATGAGTTAAAATTTATTGTAGTTAACTCAGCAACGTTTTAATCCTAAGACCATAATTAACATACACGTAAAAACAATATAACATCAATAATATACATCTATATTGAAGTGAAAAAAGAAAGACAAATTCATATTTGTATAAGTACAAAAAGAACAAATATCCCTGTTGACTTCCCACTTCGCGTTTTGTTTCAAGAAATAGTTTAACAAACTTAAAACAAGAGTTCTGAATATATGGGTGTAGAGTACAGTTATGCACCCACTAATTGTTGCGCACCGCGCATTGTGGTTTGTTATGCACGGTGTGTCTTGTGTCTTAGTTTAGCTAATTAACGATTTTTTAGCCTTTAGGCTTCTGGCATTGCTACGTATTTTATTATTATTATACGCGTGACGTAGTGTGTATAGTTTATAGTCTGTCTTTGGCGTAAGTAATATTCGTTTGCAGTTGGTGTGAGAAGATTGTGGAGGATGGTTGTACTCAATTCTTCTACTTATAGCAAGCTGCACTAAACATGTGTTTGTTTATTCATTGTTTATCCCGACAGATATGTTTATTGATTAAAGTTTACTTTGATAATGGACAACAGAATTGTATTTAATTGAATGTGATTATGACGCATGGAACTTAAAAGGAATTTGTTGGGAGCAAACATTCACTCATGGATCGCAACAATGACTGGGTATTAAAGTTAGTCGACAACTGCATTGTTTCAACCTAGATTTGTTATTCACTAACCGACTTGATCATTTTTTTTAGTTTTTTTAATGCTTAATATACATTGAAACAATATTAAATATTTTCGTCTTGATGTCTTTCTGATCGACTTTATTTCTAAATTTGCTTGTTTGATACGAGGAGACCAAAACGATTACATTTTCCAAAGCTCTAGTAATGTCATCATGGTGAAAATAACTGAATAAATGTTCCTTTCGAAAGCTAACCATAACATTCAAATACTGAAAATATCACGGTCAGCTTGGAGCCTCCTTTCGTCAACCGTGGTTTCAATAGTGATTTGTTATTTTACATTCTATATCACAGCTTTGACTTACACTGACATCATTAATCTTACACATGGTGCTCAGAGGGCGACAGAGTGTTAGCATTGAATGATGTTGTAACGTGCAAAAAAAGTGAGTCGTCATTTGATCTCACAGCATGACGAGTGCACCAATTTGGTGGGAACATCAGATCGCGTTGTATGACAAATGACGCAAATAGCAAAACACATCAGTTCAAACTGTGTCCTGTGGAGAGATTTATTTGATTGTTAAGCATTTCTATCTTATCACTTATAAACATATATAAAACATGCTGATGTCATTCAATTATAAAGTACATAGTTTCATTTATAATCCCTTGCATAGTAGAAATTTTGAACAGTACATTTAAACCCATTATATCACTACTGACAAAATTAGCTTTACAACTTGTATGTATGGTGACCACACACATATCTTCTATACTATATGACCGAAAACCCTATGTTAATAATTGATCCCAGGTTACAACTTATAATACGATACCCAACGTTAGTGATTACCTCCATTAAGTAAGCTTTAGGTTTCTTTCTTCTTGACAATGATTTATACTGTGGTGGCGGCAGATCATACTGTGGTGCTGTTGAAGAACAAACAGGTTGGTTTGAAAAATTGTTTAGGCCCCAAAATATAACGCCCGTACATCTCTAAAGCGTTTGTAGGGTAAAAGTTATAGTTTCAGTGTTAAATAATAGTTAAACATCATAAATGAAATAGTGCGGAAAAACTTCGCATAATTAATGGTTTCTCGAAAGTTCACTAAAATACGTCAAAGGTTAATAGAAAGTTTGAATGGAATATGAAAATGATGCAGGGAAATCATCCCTACCCCCGTTTGTTCTGACAGTTACTCTCTAAGGTTGTACCTGAGTGGATAGCCAAAGCCATCGGAGGACGAAAAAGGCTAGGGTTCTGTGCGACCTCTGAGTATGACGGAAGGAGGGGCGGTCTATCAGCTCGCGTTGCGTCACGTGGCGGCTCCCAACGGGGAATCCTTCTGGTGTCGGGCTGAGGCTCTACGTTGATGACGCTGTCGGAGAGTGTCTGGTCAATGGTCTGGACGATGGGTCTGGCGCGCGTCTTAACATGTCTTATCCAGCAGATTACGCACACCGTGGCGGTAGCTATCACTACCAGGACACCGACGGAAGCCAGTGGCCAAATAAGTTTCGAGTTGTCTCTATCAGCTGTGAATAAATTTGCAAAATTTTAGTCAAAGTTTCATATATGAATCTGCCCCACCGCCCCACTTATAAATAATAATAAAAAGATAGCGTCATCTTCCGGCCCTGGGACTATAAATATGTATCAGAGGCTAGCATCCAAATCCACTGGTATAAGAATGATTGATTTATGTCTCCCTTCAAATCTGTCTCTCTGATTGGAACTATACTTAAACATTATACACCATGTCAGAAATATGCGTGAATTAGCATTATTTCAATAATTAAAATGGCGTTCTCCCACATATTTTTTTACATTAAAATGAAATATACCCCCATACTAAAGAAAATAGCTGAATTTCATTAAGCATTTTTTAGTTTTTTATGTAATTTTCAATAGTAACACTGTAGGTTTTACCCAAATTTTAAGTTTACTATGTGATGTCTTATATTAATACAGTAGGTTTTCCCAAGTTTATGTTCATCATTTCACTTTATTGTGATGTCCAATATTAAGACATTGGGGGGGGGGGGGGGGGTCCCCAAATTGATGGTGAGAGTGGCGGGGGGGGTGGGTGGGTTCCCCAAAATTAAGATCGATGTACTCGGTTTTGAGTGATTTGACAAAATATTTTATTAACATTATAATCATAATGTGTTCTGGTACATAGTCTTTATGATTCAAATGCAAGTTAAATAGCATAAGATTACACATATATGAATGAGTCTATAGTGCCTTTAAAGTCTACTCACAATGAATAATGGTGATGTTAATCTCCAAAGCTGACGAGAAGTCTTCGTTGGCTTGACAACCCAGCACACAGCTCGCCCCACAATACATGTCGAACATGGTAATGGTGAACCTCAAGCTGCCACCATAGTTAGTGTACAGGCTCTTATCCACTGTATCGTGGTAGAGGGTCAGTTTGGTGCCTGGTTCCTTCGCCAAACAGAAAAATCTCACCTCATTTCCGGGCTCGAGTTTAAGCGATTTGTTTTGAGAGTTGGCGGTGAAAGTGACGATTTCAGATGGCTCTGGACCTTTAAGATATATACATATATGCAGATATTGATATTAACGTGTTAAACTTATTGTGGTTTTAACTCAAACAAATAATTTCAACTTTGTGTTTGTTCTAAACATCAAGATGTTGTTTCGAAGATGACAATAAACCATTGTTGAAATCAAAGTCATCGAAGAAAGCATCAAGGTTTAAATATGAACTGAGTTCATCCATCCAAAATAAATGATAATGTTACCAATAATAGCTAAAGAGATATTACATTATTAGTGGGGGGGAGGGGGCTATTTCGTAGATTACAAGTAAATTTAAACAAGATGTCGCCGGGAGGATGATCGTAAGCATTAAAAAAAAATACAAGTAAATGTTATTAGATTGTTGCGGGGGGGAAATAATTGGGCAGACCATTTCCAAACTTACCTGTTCCCAAAATAAGCTAGGGCTAATCTAGCCCCCCCCCACACACACACCCCGAATACCAAAACTGTTCACAGCTGTTCAAGGGTAATAATTTATACATTTTATTAAAAAATATATATTTTTTAAAATGTCATTTTAGTAACAATATTATAAATCGCACAAACGCAAAATATCGTAACCTGTGTAAATTATGTGAAGCTAATATGACCAAGTTTGGTAACTGAACACTGAGTCCACTTTACCTAACATACACTTATATACCTTTTCCATGAATGAGATTTACAGGAATGATACAAGTGAAGTATTCGAATAGTATGCCGGCCTTAACTCCTATTTTTAAATTGTAAGATGATTACTTGTTCAACTCCACACTTCCTACCCTAATTACCCAAAATCTGATAAACTGACATGTATACATAACCCTACACTTGCAAACAGTGGGTATTTTTTTCTATGAAAATGAATAGGAATAATGATATATGCACACAATCAAAGTTAAATTTTCTATCAAATTAGTGATTTTAAAAAACAAAGCAAAAAAGTTTATTTCCGCTCGTCTAAAGTAATCCCAGCTAGGCCGCAGCAAAATGTTTGATATTTCTCTAGTTCACTATCAGCACCTTGAGCTTCTTACAATAGTGCGTGCTTCTTGTTCGTTCCCTTGGTTCTTAATAAAACATTTGTGTGAGCTGGACATTCGTCTCAAAGTAATTCAAAATTTTAAAAAAATGTATACACATTCTCTCTATTTATGGAACTTTCCAATTTTTTAAATAGTCCTTGTTTAGTGATGGCATCAGCCACTCAGCCATCTTGCTTGTGCAATCTTTACTTCATTAAAACAGCTGGCGACCTACTTTTCCCGATCACCAATGGCGTTAACTGAATCTTTCCTTTGCATGTCTAGGAACTACTGACATTTTGTCTTCATGATTTATAATTTCCATTCACTTAATATAAATATATATGATATCCCAAAATATAATGAACATTTTTAAACAAATAGAGAGAGACGGTATGAGTTTCAATCGAGCATTTGATATTTCATTCTATTAAACAGTTTTTTTTCCAGTAACGACTAATGGCAATAAAATGTGCACATGGCATATATACAATTTCAGACGCATTTCCTTTTTGGGCTTAGGAGTTGGGTAAGGGTTTAAAAGACTTTAATTTGAAGTTTCACAAAATAAATTCACTACAGTGTTTCAAAAAATGCACCACATTCTGTGAATAAATGTGTTTAGACGTATATTCCTTATGGACTAAAATATAGATTTCTACTAACCCAGGTTTTATTCTCCCCCCTCCAACCCCCCGGGCACGAAATTAAAAAAAAAAAACATTTATAAGGGTCTCGTTGTAAATGTCTTGGTGAGTACTACAATGTTTCATATTGCTTTAAGTTCAGAGAAAATATTTAACCTTTTAAAGCCATGGTGATGACTATATTGGTAATTGCCTTTGACGTTGATCACTTCAAAAAGTCATAGGTGCTTGGTGGAGATATCACTCGAAAGGGCTTAAGCTAAAAACACTATAGTATGCTATGAAATTATACACAATTTTTCTTCGGTGGGTATTCACACATTCCATAACAGGGGCTCAAGGAATAATTATGGAAATGATTGAAAAAGTATTGAATTCTAATGCAATTTTCTCTGAGAAACTTAATTAACTAATTAACATTGCGTCATATATGGATCTGTTAGAGCCCTCAATCAATAGCTCTTGTAGTAAATAGAAACGAGCATTTTTAGAGTTATTTAAAAAAAACATGTTTTAAACCATTGGACAGTTCATAACACGTGTTTTCTGTATTGTGCCACTTTGTCATCCAACAGTATGACGTCAAGTTAGAATTAAATTATTCTAAACTTACAGCCTAGAACTTTGATTGTTATCTTCTTGACGTCACTCCCAGCCTGACATCCGACATAGAACAGCTTATTTTCACACGTCAAGCCATACATGCTGTATTCCAAATGCTGATTGGTGTTTTCTGAGACGAGAGTATTGTTGAGAGAGTTCTTGTACAAGGTGAAGGTTGTGCCAGGAGGTCCACTTCCGGAACATCTGATCGTGACGTAGCTACCGCGGGTTATGTTCACAATTGGTGACTCCAAATTTGCAGTAAGGGACAAAATTTGACCTCGAATTTGACCTTTTTTGACGACAGAATATCAAATAAAATTACTTTAATTTGAATGAGATTTTGATATGTTTATGTATACATAAATATAATTGCTAATTTAAAATTTTGGTAAAGAATACTGACCATTTTAATAGAAATAATGTATTAATTTTGTGATAGTGATATGAAACCTATCTACCATTTCATTTACAGAAACTGTTAAAAACCATGCCTACAACTTCATTCCCTTACACAATCGCCAATCCTTTTCAACATCTCATTCAGTAACAATTCTGACAAATTTACACTCGCTTCGTTAAGGAACACTGACACAAATTATATAGAACAAATAGGAAGATCTTTTCCCTGATTTAATTGATTTAGTTACTTCACGGATAAGTTTACACTTCCTTCAACCGGAACCATGAAGAAAAAGAAAGAGAGGGTAGGGAACAGTGGAGCGCCACAGCTTAAGATATTTTTTGTATGGTATAGACTCAATTTTTGTATGGTATAGACTCAATTTTTGTATGGTACAGCATCAAATTTTTATGGTAAAGCATCAATTTTGTTGTCACGGAGGCAAAGTACACTATTAGGAACACAGCAGCATATATTCTCTAGGAACAAACTATTCTTCCAAAAAAAAAAAAAAAAAGACAAATTTACACAGCTTTAATTTGTCTGAATTGATTGACAGATACTTCAAATCTCATTTTGTTTAAAGAATAATTTTTAAAATAGGTTTTATACGATCATGTATTTAGATGGAAGACAAATATAACTGTTACCAACCTCCCCCCCCCCCCAAAAAAAAAAAAAAAAAAAAAGAAAAAACTATTTTTCAAAAAAAAAAAAAAAAGACAAATTTACACAGCTTTAATTTGTCTGAATTGATTGACAGATACTTCAAATCTCATTTTGTTTAAAGAATAATTTTTGAAATAGGTTTTATACGATCATGTATTTAGATGGAAGACAAATATAACTGTTACCAACCTCCCCCCCCCCCCAAAAAAAAAAAAAAAAAAAAAAAAAATACGTACATTCTGTAACCGTGATAATAAGTTCTCTGGCATACATGATGTCACTTCCAGCTTGACATCCGACAGTGAATGACGTGTCACATGATACATTACGTATGACATATTCCATAAATGTTGATTGATTCGTTGAGATAAGTAAATTATCAATATTATCACGGTACAAGAAGAAGGTTGTACTAGGCGGGCCATTTCCGGAACAGCTCAACGTGACGTCATTGCCGCCATCAATGAACAATTCTTTTGACAATCCATTGGCGAAGAAAAAATTAATCGTTTTATCTCTGCCTTTCTTGGGTTTAATGAAAAATAAATATTAAAAAATACCATTGTTAGAAGTTAATATGAACAAGCTACGCACGATCCATTTAATAAAGATCAGTTAGAAAAGGGATTAAGAGATTAATCATCAGGCTTGTCAAAGGGAAATGTTGCTAAATTGTAATAAACAAATCCAATAAAATAAATGATAGCATATTTTTGTTATAAACTTGTCAAGATAATGTGTCTTTGTAGCTGGCCGATCTGTAACTTTGATTTGGCCCTTTCCGGGATCAATCCAACATTTTTTTTTCAAATAGCGTCCTACTCATTAACGTCTCTAAGGCTCAATATCGTTTGGTTTAAAATTCATTTTCGTAAATATAACGTCTAAAGTTTGTTTATCGAATCTTCACGTTCCAATCCTTGTCAAGGTACATTTTATCGTTTTTAAATGAGGACGTACACACCCAAGATCTCATGACATCGTTAAAATAATCTTGAAACGTCAACACCATTCATACTCTGAAACACTCTAACTTTTTTTTTTCAATGGACCTAAACACATATGGACAATAACTAAATTATGCGCATTAAAAACAAAATTAATGATGAACTCATTTTGCATAATGTTGTATCAAGTGGTAATTAAATAAACCCCATACGTGTATGACCTTGAATTGCAAGTTTTTAAAAATCACGAAATAGAGACCACCTGAAAAGGTAAGTATACAGAGAATAATCTGCACTTTTAAGAAACTATTTTCAAGTAAGAATTCACATACCAATTAGAATTGTTTGAAACGTACAATAGTCATAATAAATACATTTTTTTATTATTATTTCGGATAATCATTTGAGAATATAAAAAATTAAAAATACAAATTTTATACGACTGTTTGAGAAAATTTAGATATTTTAAATGCCCTTAAATAGAAACAGATAACATAAGAAAAAAAAAACAACTTACATTTATTAACTGAGATAAGAATTTCTCTTGAAGTCCTGACTTC